CATGCCGCGGCGCAATCCAACAATTTCGCGTTCTTTCTTTTGCTTGACAATCTGACTTCTCTCTTTAGCACATACAAAGCCTCCAACCACCGTGTGAGCATAAATTCATCACTTTTTCTACCTAAAAGCCTGAAACTCATATATATACCCGTGATTCTGGAAAATAGAAATATATAAAGAAACTTGCATAAAAATAATCCATGAAAGTCACGAGTTCCCTACAATCTACCCATAAAATCATGAAATATATATATCATTTCATCACTCATCAGTGGGCAAGGATGAAAGCCACACGCCTACCCATGCCCATGGCACTCTTAAGGGTCTAACACCTAGCTTCCAAAATCTAAATTACTTCAACGCGGAAAAAGGAGAGACAATAGAGAGATATGTAGGGAGAATTTGAATTCTACCATCAAGGTCTTCTAATAGTCAAATTGGTGACACTTTTAAGCAAAATTATCAACTACTACCCCTAAACCTTAACGATGTTGAGTTTTGTTACATTGGATTTTTTATTTTTGTAAAAGTACCATTTGACCCTTACCATGGTTAAGGAAGTTGAAAGGGTGGGAAAAAGACTACACAATTAAGGTAGGATGACTAAAATGTCCCCTAAGGACTAAAGAGTTTGAAAAGTACAAAATTGCCCTTAATGTACTACATTTCCATCTTACTAAATCGTTGGAAAGGTGGCAGGCGACTGTTATTATCCATGCCAGGTTTTCAACTATAAAATATTCTGAAGGCAATAAAAGCCAACAATTCTAGTAGCAAACTTATAAAAAGCCATTCTAAAAAAAATCATTAAAAATTATACCAAAAAAAAAAAAAAAAAAAAAAAAGCATAATAAATGAGTTAGGAAAGTAATTCAAGCGTGTCCAGAAGACTATCTTGTTCATTTATGAGTGGAAGTGTAATTAGTAGTGTAATTAGTTTTAAACACCAAGGATGCAAAAGAGAAAAAAGGGCAGCAGTTATGATATCAGAGTCCAATGAAAATCCTCGGAAATTGCACTTCATATGTGAGTTTGGAACATGCAATTTCTTTAGAAGGTGGATGCAGTCAGCATGACTGACGATAAAGAAATAAATATCAAAGAAATGCAGTAGCTGTTAATGTTGTCAACATTCGGAAAAAAAAAAAAAAAAAAAAAAAAAAAGTGTTTTCGAAATGAGTATATAATGTTGTCAAAGTAGCTTGAAGGAGTTAAAGATTTGAGAAAACTATCAAAGAAGCTGGAAGACATGCAAGAGCATCTTCATGATGTGGGCAGAATTGTAAGCTCATGGAAAACACCCTTTTTATTGTTGAGCTTAGGGACTGATTTCTTATTCTTAAATTGAGGATTAGATAGTTTATTCTCTACCACATGTGCCTTGGAACTTAGTTCCTTAGCAGTTTTGGCTCTATCTCTAAGCCTATTTTGTTCCTCAATTCTTATGTACATCTTCAAGGCTCATTTGCTTCCATTTATACTTCATCTTGTTTTTGCAATCTCTCTAAGTATCTGCAAGCTTTTCAATCAAGTTGCCAGCTACAAAAAAGTATTGGAGGATTATATCTTTACTTTTTAGGCCATTTAGTAGCTTGTGATAGGTGTGTACTTGATTGGTGACAAGTTTGTCATCAACCATCTTAAGGTCTAGGAATTTCCATATGCCACATTTTTGGGCTTCAACATCTTCTGTTACATACTTCTTTATCATGTTTTCCCATATTTCGTGCGCATTTTTGAAAGGGCAATAGATGTCATAAAGTTCATTGGATAAGGTACTCAGACATACCTTGTTACCTTTCTTCAAAATTTTCAGAGGTTGTTCATAGTCTTACATGTTTGCTTCAAGTTCAGTGTGGCTGAGGAAGTCAACCAAATTCATTACATCCAAGGTGTCAAAAACCTTTCCCTACCATCTCTTGAAACTGACATCATTAAAAGTCTCAATTTTGGATACATTGGGCAATGACTTGGCGGCGTTCAAGGCAACTTCCATTGTGTTTAGGGAACTGGTCTTTAGATTGTTGTCCAGAAATTACAATGTAAAAGAAAATACAGTAAAATAACCATAGCCTAGAAAAATCACATCTAGTCTCTTATAGAGTTTATGCTTACAAATAAGTCCCTATAGATAAATTAGGAAATTGAAGTTAGGACATATTAATTAATTAAAACTTTGTGCAAAGACCAAATTAACAAAATTAATGCGGAAGACTGAGACAAGTAAATAAAAAAAGAAGGGTATAAAACTAGAAGAAACAAAATCGAGATTAAAACTTGTCGTCTTGTGCATAAGAAAACAAACTCTTATAGAAGATTGAAACTCGATTCTAAAGCATAGAAGGTGAAAGCCAAGGCGTGCAAAGAGGCACTGGCCTAAAGATCGATTCTGCCTCTACAGGTAAGAGATTGGGTTTGGGGCAAAGGTTTCAAAAGCGATTCAACTCTAGACTTCAATGGTTGTAGTTCGGCTTAGTGTACTATGAAATGAAATTTAGAACAAAAAAAGGAATAAAGCAGTGTTTTGTTTTCTCTGGTGGAAAAAGAAATCTAAATTTATGCCTATTAATTTACTAATGTGAGCTCTCTGTTATCAGTGTAAGTCTCAATATTTTTCAGCAATGAAAGAATTGCCCTCAAAGCTCAATTTATAAGCATATATAAAACTATTTCCTGCAAAATCAGTTAACGACCAGAACAAAATTGATCATTAATGCATGCAAAAGCAACAGCCAATTTAAACCTTAATTAAATTCCACTAAAATGTCGTTTGTTAGCACAGAGCAAGTAAGGGTCTTTCTTGCATAAGATTTTTCAAAGTAACTAATTATTTACTGAATATGGTAAAATAAAATTGAAAAAACAATTAATTAAAAGCAAACAAATCAAGTTCACGATTGAAAATGCAAGAGTAACGAGATTGAAGGATTATTCATCACCACTAAGCATGTATTGCAAATTAACAATAGCACTTCCTAACTTCCTACTCTTTTGATTATAACAGCTTAAAAAATATCACAAGCTCGATAAATTCAATTTCTCCTTGCTGTGTGCCAGCCTGTGTCGTTGGATTAAACAAGCTCTTAACCCAATTCTCTATCTAGCAAACAACCTAGAATAAGCTCTCTAGATTTAATTTATTAAAGGCATTAAGAGACGAGAAACATACTGAATTAAAGCCAAACTCATAAGTTCGGTTTAGTTATCTTGAGTGTTTATTCCCATTGCAAGCAATTTATCACTAGATATCTAGATTAATTAAGCGATTACATACTTAATAATCTAAATTGGTAATAGATAGATTGACTCAACCGTTCAATTGTGCACTTAAATAATCAAGAGAATATACTAAGACATTATTAATAGAGAGTAAAACACATAATCAAAAGAAGTAGTAAAAAAGGAATTGCAGATTTTATTAATTATCACAAAACATATCTAGGGTTTTGAAATCACCCCCAATCGCAAGAAAATTAGTTATCCATGGAAAATAATAAATCCATAATAGTATTCATGAGAACAAATAATAGAAGGGAGTAGAAAAGCTTAGGAAAATTGGGTTGGTCAAAGTTGTTGATGTAGAATTCTTCCTAATTGCTTCCTTCCTATAATACCCACATTCAAAAATATGGTAGGGATTATTTTATAGTCATAGTGAATATATTTAATTAGTTTTATAGAGGAATTCCACAAAAGTTTCAATAGGGGCAAAATAGTAATTTCACATAGAATCATGTGTTAAAGTGAAAAGTGAGTATGATAAATATAATGTATTAAGTGTGTTAGCCATGAGAATAGAGTGGTAAAAAGATTATGGGAAATACACGTGATGTGATGTTGAGATAAATACGTGTTTGTAAAGTAATAGGAAGAAATTAAAGAATAAGGCATTACAAGAAAACTGACATTTTGCAATCAATTTTTTAGCAACTAATCAGAATTAGTTGCAAAAAGGCTATATTTACCAACTAAATTGAGATTAATCGAGCAAAGAGGATTAAAATTTTAGGGCCCACATGTTCCAACATTTGGCATCTAAAGTTAATTTTTTGCGACTATTTTGTTAGTCACCGAACTGATTGCTTTAGTGACTAATAAATTTAGTTGCAATTTTTTTCAGGTGATTTTTCCCTCCAAAATTTGATAATTTGCATCTAAAATATTATATTTTGCATCTACATTTTTTGTTACAAAAAACAATTTTTTGCAACTACCCCTTAGTAGCTAAATTAGTTGCGAATAATTAGGGATTTGTTAGTAACTATTATGATTAGTTATAGAAAAATAAAATTACCAAAATATCCTATATTTGGACAGTAATTACAAGGGCCCCAAAGTATATACAACAACTAAATTTGATTTAGTTGCTAATTTAAGTTAAAAAATTCATATTCCCCCAAATTATTTGTTCCCGCCAGACCTAAATTATAGGCAACACTAATTCTTTACTAACTAAATTTTTAGTTTCAAATTGACTTATTTGCAAAATAGAATTATATTTCAAAATTAAACAACTAATTAGAACCCTTACTTTTTTAAGTTATTTACAGAATACCCTATCCTATGTAAAGGAAGCATTTTTGTCAATTTCATCTCCTCTCCATGCATCTTTGCCCTATCTTTTTACCCAATTTTCCCAAACGCACAACCCAAATTTCATATCTTTTCCCCACGCATCTTCATCTCTTTTGACGCGTCTTCATCTTAATCGCTGTTGCCCGAATTTCTGAAATGCAAAACCTGACTTTATCTCTTCTCCATGCATCTTCATCTTTTAATTGATCTTTTTGGCTTCCTTCATTCATCCAATACGAGGCAGTCCCTAACCTCCCGTAAGTACAATTTTTTATTCTTTAGTTCTCTCACATGGTAACATTGAATTTGATTTCAAATTTTTAGAAACTGATGTATTTTCGTTTATTGACATTGCATTGATTTTCGTGCAATGAATAGAGACAACGAAAGCAAAGAAAACGTTTCCAAAAGCAGCGCAACGATCATGTGGCACTGAAAGAGGACATGTTGAGAGAGAGAGACATTTCCAAAGCAGTGAAATTGATATGAAAGAACAACTCAGGAATTGTAACGTGTGTGCCATCCCATGTTCATGTTGTATGCATTCCAAGCAAATGACATCTACAATGGGAATAAACACTGATGAATTTTCTGATGCCTGTAAGAGAAAGGATGTTTGTCGGGGTTCTTCTGGTAATGTTGATATGCTGTTGCCATCTTTATGTTATGCATGCAATGGGAGGCATCACACAAGCAGTGAGACAAGCAACCTATTTAGTGCATGCTCAAGTTGTGATTCTTTCACAGAAAATGTAGAGAGTAAAGCAACTTTGAGGGCTCCTACTACTTCTGAAGACACTGATGAAGTTCCAGAGAATCATGCTTCTGTGAAAGGATCAATTTTTCATGTTGACGAAATCTTATCAAATCGACCTAGGCAACAGAAAGAATCAGAATGCTTTGGTGACAACATTTCTTGTATTAGTGGATCAGACAACTGATGAGCAACCAATAAAGATAGTGTACCACAGGAAGCGTGGGAATAGGCAGTAGAGGAACATGGCCAATTATCTGCAAGGCTGGAAGTCAGGATTTGTTTTGAGTTTGTTTTAAAGGAATATTGTTAGGACAGATGGCAGGTTATGGTGGAACGTAAGTGGAATTCAGTTAGAATAAAGGGTGACAGGAGAGAATAAAAGGAGGAGGAGTGAAATAGAAAAGGCAGAGAATTATAAAGTAAAGTGAAAAGGGAGGCTACTGACCCTCGAAGTCAGTATTTGGGAGGTGTTTGACCCTCGAAGTCAGTCTTTTGATTTTCTTTTCTGATTGTATTTTGCATTACGTTTCTGAGTTGTTTGCTTACTAAATACTAAGGATAGGACTGTTGGAATCTAACGTAGTGTCTAGCTGTAATATTTTGTTGAGGTCAATACACAGGATCCTATTACTATTTTTGGTGAATTTGACTTGTGAGTGCAGATTGTTTGTGGTAGTTTGCTTGAATTGCAGGTCAGGTCCTATCAAGTGGTATCAGAGCGTGAGATCTGGGTAATGGTCTTGACAAGAATGGATTCTAGACTTGATAATGTGGAGAAAGAGGTTACTAAGTTGGGAGTTGAAATGGGTACCATCCGGGAGTGTTTGGTGGAGTTACAATCATGGGTACGACGAAAGAATGAAGAAGAGGCAAGTAGAACAGAGGGACGTTCAACAGAAAATATTCAATCTCACAATGACGAAAATATAAACGGAGCCAGTGGGTCAGGGAGCAGTAACCAAAACCGCAGTGAAATAGGGGGAAGGAAGTTGGAAATGCCAATCTTCTCCGGTGAAGACCCTTACGGGTGGATCTTTAGAGTAGAGCGGTACTTCAACATCAATGGCATATCGGAAGAAGGAAAGCTTATGGCAGTTGCTGTCTGCATGGAAGGAGAAGCTATCAATTGATTCCAGTGGACAGAATCCAGAACACCAGCAAGCTCATGGGCTATGTTGAAATTAGCACTACTTCAGAGATTTAGTGGATCCCAAGAACTCAACCCCTGTGAATCCTTGATGGTGATGAAGCAAACTGGGTCAGTGGTAGAATTCCGTCGTCAATTTGAAGCAGTAGTAGCTCTGTTGGTAGGAGAGAAAGAAGAAATCCTACAAGCTGCGTTTATAAATGGACTAAAAACTAAATTAGAGCTGAGGTTAGGTTGGCCTAACCAAACTCTTTAATTCAGATTATTGAACTGGCCCAAAGAATTGAAGAAAAAAACCAAGCCTTAGAAGAGGCCCAAGTGGGGTTAAACCGGGTTTCACGCACAAGTGGGCCTGGGTTTCATATGGATCTAGGAGTCTAACCCGATTTGGTAACCATAACCCGACCTGGTTCAATTTTAGCCCAAAATTTCCCAATTCGACAGTTTCGACAGAATCCCTAAAAGCTAATCCAAATACTTTCTCCCAGGTTACTCGACAACCATCGGAATCTTCCACACAAGGGTCGACGGCGAACTCTTACCCACGCGAACCAATGACGATGAGCTCCAAGCCATTCAAACGACACGGGTTTCCACGACGAGACTTACCTTTTCGTTGGATGACAGATGCCGAGGTCCAAATGAAGCGCGAGAAGGGAATATGTTTTAAGTGTGATGGGAAGTACTCGATTGGGCACAAATGTGGGGAGAAACAATTTCAAATCCTCCTGATTGATGATGAAGAAGATGACCCAGATCCAAGAGTGGGGGAGAAGATTATTGAAACTGAAACAGAGAAACCACAGGAGAATGTGGAGCTCTCACTGAGTTCAGTGGTGGGGATTCAAGGCCCGAAGACAATGAAACTCAAAGGAAAAATCAAAGGTAAGGAATGGATTGTGTTGATTGATAGTGGGGCTACCCATAATTTTATTAGCTCAAAAGTGGTTGAACAGTTGGGAATACCAGTGGTGAGGACTCAGTCTTTCGGAGTCAGAGTTGGTGATGGATATAGTGTGAGATGTGAAGGGGAATGTAAGGGCGTGTGCATGGAGTTACAAGGGGTGAATATTAACCAGAATTTTTTTTCGTTTGATATGAGCAGCGCCGACGTGGTACTGGGTATTGCTTGACTTGAGATCTTGGGCGAAACCATTACAGATTGGCGGAAACAAATCATGAAGTTCACAATGGGACACAAAACGGTCTGTCTGTCTGGGGATCCCTCTCTTACCAAGACACTGGTTTCCCTCAAGGCAATGATTAGGACACTACAGAGCGAAGGGCAGGGTTATTTGATCGAATTTGGGCAACTACAGACTCAGTCTTCAAATGTGGGGAGTATCGATGACAGACTGCTGCAAGTCTTGGGCAAGTTTAGCCAAGTCTTCGAACCACTCTCAGGGTTACCACCCGTCAGGTCCAGAGACCATGCCTTTCAGCTAATCCCTGGGACGCAGCCACCAAACCTTAGACCCTACCGGTACCCTTATTACCAGAAAAATGAGATCGAGTGTTTTGTCAAGGAGATGTTGGCTTCGAGAATTATAAAACCAAGCATCAGTTCGTTTTCCAGCCCTGTTTTATTGGTGAAAAAGAAGGATGGAGGGTGGCGATTCTGTGTCGACTACCGGACAGTTAATAAAGTGACAATCCCGGATAAATTTCCTATTCCAGCTATCGATGAACTGTTTGATGAATTAGAGGGGGCACTAGTTTTTTCAAAACTTGATTTGAAATCCGGTTATCATTAGATTAGAGTGTGGCCAGAAGACACACCAAAGACTGCCTTTCGGACACACGAAGGGCACTATGAATTTCTCGTCATGCCTTTCGGCCTCACCAACGCACCAGCAACCTTTTTAAGCTGTCATGAATGATGTATTCAGACCGTATTTGAGAAAGTTCTTGTTAGTGTTCTTCGACGATATATTGATTTATAGTAAGGAGATGGATGAACATGTGCAACATTTGAGTACTATTTTGCAAGTGTTATGGGAGAACCAGTTGGTGGTCAATCAGAAAAAGTGTCAGTTCAGACAACTACAGTTGGAATATCTGGGACATATTGTATCAGCTAAGGGTGTAGCCGTTGATCCCAGTAAAATAGACAACATCACTAAATGGCCAGCACCAAAGGACATCCGGGAACTTAGGGGATTTCTCAGGCTGACAGGTTATTACCGCCGTTTTGTTCGCGATTACGGTAAGGTTGCTCTTCCACTCACTGCCCTATTGAAAAAGGATTCTTTTGGGTGGAATCCAGCAGCTCAACAAGCCTTTGAAGACTTAAAAAGAATCATGACCAGTGTCCCTGTCTTACGGATGCCCAACTTCACCCAAGAGTGTATTATCGAGATCGATGCTTCGGGAAGCAGGTTAGGGGTAGTGTTGATGCAAGAGGGGAGGCCTATTGCTTTTCTCAGCAAAGGTTTGTCACTCAACTCCAAACTGAAATCCGCGTATGAGCGGGAATTAATGGCTGTGGTTTTAGCGGTGCAAAAATGGCGACATTACCTTTTGGGCCGACGTTTTGTTATCCGAACAGACTAGCAGAGACTCCATTTCCTAACAGACTAGAAATTATTAGGTGAAAGTCAGCAAAAGTGGGTTAGCAAACTGTTAGGATTGGATTTCCTCATTCAGTATAAACCCAGACCATAAAATAGAGCAGCAGACGCACTTTCCAGGATGCCAGATACAATCGAGCATCATGCCATCTCAATGGGTTGTTTTTCTGGGCTAGACAGTTTCGAGGATGCAGTCCAACAAGATGCCAAGCTACGAAAGATCATTCAACAGCTCCTGATTGACCCAAACAGTCATCCTCATTTTCGGTTGGTGGGAAGCCATTTGCTGTTCCATAACAGGTTGGTTTTACCTAAGTCCGGGCCTCATATCCACCAGCTATTACTGGAATTTCACACTTCACCGATTGGGGGCCATTCTGGATTTTTTCAGACATACAAACGACTCTCGAATGTGGTGTTTTGGGAAGGCATGAAGAAGGATATCAAGGCATTTGTCGCTGCTTGCGATATTTGCCAACAAAATAAATACGAGGCTTTAAGCCCCGCCGGTTTACTGCAACCCTTACCTATCCCTAACCAGGTGTGGGAGGATGTTTCTATGGATTTCATTATAGGGCTGCCCAAGGCCCACGGAGTCGACTTTATTCTGGTTGTGGTCGATCGTTTCACCAAATACAGCCATTTTCTCACTCTTAAACACCCGTAGACCGCCAAGATGGTGGCAGACTTATTTATCAATGAAGTGGTCAGGTTGCATAGGTTTCCACGCACTATTGTATCCGATAGAGATTGAATTTTCATGAGCAATTTTTGGGCTGAATTGTTTAAACAGTCTGGGACCCATCTACACATGAATTCAGCCTACCATCTGCAAATGGATGGTCAAACAGAAGTGGTCAACCGTTGCTTAGAGACATACCTTTGGTGCTTCATCAATGGCTATCCACAGCAGTGGCCAAAATGGGTGCCATGGGCAGAATTCTGGTTTAATACGACTTACCATACTTCCACAGGAATGTGTCCTTTTAAAGCTCTCTATGGCCGCGACCCTCCGACAGTGCTACGCTATACGGACCATACTTCTCCAGTTGAAGAAGTTGATCTACAACTTCAGCACCGAAACCATATTATTGAGGAATTAAAGGACAATCTTTTAAAGGCTCAAAACCGCATGAAAATGTATGCTGATCGCCGTCGCCGAAAGGTAACATTTGAGACAGGTGACTCAGTATATTTGAAGTTACAACCGTATCGATTACGTTCCTTAGCCCGTCACTACAACGAGAAGTTGAGCCTGCGGTTTTACGGTCCCTTTGTCATCATAGACAGGATTGGAGCAGTGGCGTACAGGCTGGCCCTTCCTTCTTCAGCTCGTATCCACAACGTTTTCCATGTTTCACAACTGAAGAAAGCAACATTTCCGATCCCTAATAGCCAACCTCTACCAGCATAACTTAACGAGGACCTAACTTTACAATTGGAACTTGAAGCAGTTCTCAAAAAAAGGAAACTGCTGAATGGCTAGTGGGAGGTACTGATTCAGTGGAAAGGGCTGCCTTCCTATGAAAACACGTGGGAAGATGCAGACATTATTCAGCAACAATTTCCTTCCTTTCACCTTGAGGACAAGGTGATTCTCCTTGGGGAGGGTAATGATGAGCAACCAATAAAGATAGTGTACCACAGGAAGCGTGGGAATAGGCAGTAGAGGAACATGGCCAATTATCTGCAAGGCTGGAAGTCAGGATTTGTTTTGAGTTTGTTTTAAAAGGAATATTGTTAGGACAGATGGCAGGTGATGGTGGAACGTAGGTGGAATTTAGTTAGAATAAAGGGTGACAGGAGAGAATAAAAGGAGGAGGAGTGAAATAGAAAAGGCATAGAATTATAAAGTAAAGTGAAAAGGGAGGCTACTGACCCTTGAAGTCAGTATTTGGGAGGTGTCTGACCCTCGAAGTCAGTCTTTTGATTTTCTTTTCTGATTGTATTTTGCATTACGTTTCTGAGTTGTTTGCTTACTAAATACTGAGGATAGGACTGTTGGAATCTAACGTAGTGTCTAGCTGTAATATTTTGTTGAGGTTAATACACAGGATCCTATTACTATTTTTGGTGAATTTGACTTGTGAGTGCAGATTGTTTGTGGTAGTTTGCTTGAATTGCAGGTCAGGTCCTATCACAAATGTGATGGCCTGTAAACAAGGAGGAGGAGGTGATACAGAGTGGAAAAGTACATCATGTCGTTTGGCTTCGTCAAATAACTTTCTTGTGACTGAAAACCCTGTTGGTGACCAACCTGTATTGTGCTCTGTGCCAACTAGTCCTTTATGCCAAAATGAGTGGCAGAATCCTGCAAGTTGAAGTGGTGAAGTGTCCTATTCGAAAGGAAGATATTGGAAAATCTAGTGCAGGGGTTGATGAATCTGATGTGGTTAAAGATCCTCCGGAGTCACAGCCTGTTGACCATAACAAGGTATCTGATTCTACAGAGATTGAAGTAAGTACCGTTCCTATCCCTGATATTACAATATGTGAACATAGTAGTTGGTGTACATTTCTCGGACATGGCACTTGGTGGACCTATTGGAATTTTTAAAATACAAGAGACCATAGGAAAAACTTTAACAGTTATGAAATTGTAGACAGTGTGTTTTTGTTTAACAAATAGTGAAGGGATTTTTAACAGGGAATGATAACGAAAGATTTAGTTTTTACATTGATACCTGGGTGGTTTTTAACTGTGGGGTGACCTCTTGAGGTTGTCCAGATCTGTGGTTGGGATTCCTGTGTTGCAACTGCTGCCTTTTTCGTAGTGGTCAAATAGAGTATTAGGCTGGATGGCAATGGATTGATGAATATTTTTGTATAATAGGATAACATATCACTAGTTAAGTAAACTAATAAACTTAAGATTATTGACTACAGTTAGTATAATAAGCATGTATTTATTGTAATATTTATCATTATAACTGTAATCTGTAATAGAGATTCAAGCTGTAAATTGCCATTATTAAATGAAGTCGTGCATATGCCATGATGTCTTAATTGTTCTGCTAGCAAAATGGGAAATAAAGGAGATTCTTATTACCTAGTAAAGATCAGTCTTTAAGATATTGTAATGAAAAATTAGCTATCCTGTGAAATTCATTTGACACAACCAGACTAGATTTTAGCTCTCTGGATTTGTGTGAGTCTTAGATAATATATGGAATGCAGCTTTAGTGAAAACTAGGAGCTAAGGTACAGGGATACTGAAGCTTGATGGGGTAGAATTTCGAAAACAAACCTTCTGGTGATCTTGGTTTTCACCTGGGGATACTGAAGAAAATACCACCAATAAATAAGTAGGATGGATTAGAAAAGAACTTCCTTAAAAATTGGACGGAAAGTTTAAGGATACCAACCTAATTATGTTCCGAAACAATAAAGTCCGAATCTTCTTTGAAAATTTTAGAAACTTAGGATTTCTTGTTTCTGGTTATTTAACTGTACATAGTCTGATACTTGGAGGTTGGCAACATGCATTTAGCCCCTCCACTTTCATACATGATCATTATATATTTGGTTTACTATTTTCCCCTTCATAAATGCAATGCTTTTAAATTTCAATAACTGTGTGGTTATTTTCTGCTGCCCCTGGGAACAGGTAAGAATTTGTGATATATGTGGAGATGCTGGTCGGGAGGACTTGCTTGCTATCTGTAGCACTTGCAGTGATGGAGCAGAACACATGTATGTCCTACGAAGCTAATCTTTTCCCTTCCTATTATTTTTATTTATAAGTTTAAACTAGCACTGGTGTTCCTTTTTTATCTATTGGGGAGGGTGAAATGCTCATATTTTGTTTTCTTTGTTTCAGCTATTGCATGCGTGAAAAACTGAACAAGATTCCTGAAGGAGATTGGATGTGTGAAGAATGCATACTCAATGAAGAAAACAAAAGGGACGTGCTACAGAAATTTGAAAAAGCAGCAGCAAGAGTATCAAGTCAACCTTCCTTGAATACAGCAGCACAAAACTTTAGAAATTCTAGTGCTTTGGATGATAATAATAGTTTGAAATTGAATAGCAGAGGTAAAGTTAAGTCTAGTCCTAACTTCTCCTCTAAGAGACCTTCAGGCAATTTAGAAGCTATCTCAGTGACTAAAAGAACAGTGTTTAAAAGTGTTGAACAAGAAGGAGTTTCCAAACCCTCTAGCAAAACTTGCCTGTATTCTTCATTCAATAAGGAGAATTTGAAGCAAACTCCTGAAGTGACTGCACAGGGTGACTGCTTTTCAAAATATACTTTCAGAACAGGCAATAAATCACATGAAGCACGGCCAGAGTATCGAAAGTCTCATGGTAATTTTCTTATATAGCTTTGAGGCAGATATCCTGTGCTATTCATTAGAATGTGTTGTTTGAATTTAGTTGTAATTGACCAAGTTTATGTTTCGGCTTTACAGGTATTCTTTCAAAATCAAAGTCATTTAAGATCAGTGAATCGAAAGTGAAAGTTGAAATGTCTGAAAGAGGTGTTCTGAAACAAAATTTCGCAAGAGAAACTGCTAATGGTAACAATAAAGAGGTGAGAGTTGCTAGAATGATGAAGTCTATGTCATTTAGTAATGCCAGCTCAGACCACAGAAATGCTTCAGATCCAATAGTTGTACTGCGCTGTTCTGAAATTTCCCACGGTGAGGATATGAAGAGATTAAAGCTTGCCAAAAAACAGAGGTCAACTCAAACTGAGTGCACTTCGAGATTTCAGAATCCTATTATTAGCTTGCCTGTGGTTGACTCTGGTGTTTCTGCATCAATACCCAATGAGAAGATTGCTAATTGTGGTGAAACTGTTGTACTACCCACTTATGGATCCAATTCTCGAGATCTGGTGGATGTCCAGCATCATGTAAAATCGAACAACTTATCAAAATCAGCCAGTTTCTTTAACACAGACTTTCCTAACGAAGAGAAAAACAGTATTTTCAATGATGTTGGGCAGCGCAGTTTGCACTCTGCTGACATGGCAGTGACTGTGGAAAGAAATAATTCTAATACTACTCTTCATTCCAACAAAAGCCCTTCAGCAAAAGTCTTACCTTGCTTTGCTTCTGTGGTGGCTATTCCTTCTTGGAATTCTTTTGTTCCACAGCTTAGTTACGTGTGGAAGTATGACCTTTTGCTTATCTCTCACATTTCTGAGCTTATATTGTTATTTTCTCTCCTATTATTTCTTAGTCTTTCCAAATTGTCTCACACATGAATGCCTGATGTGTCATGCAGAGGTCAATTTGATATCCAAGGAGGTGGAAGACTTCCAAGTTCTTGTGATGGAATTCAAGCACACGTCTCAACTTGCGCTTCAGCTAAAGTTCTTGAAGTAGTGCGCAAACTTCCTCAGAAGATTCTTGTGGAGGAAGTGCCTCGCTCAAACAATTGGCCAATGCAGTTCCCGGAAAATTACGCAACTGAAGATAACATTGCTCTCTACTTTTTTGCAAGTGATGTTGAGAGGTCTATTAAAGCTTCTTCTTGTGATTTTAGTGCTCTCTTTTGTGCTGACGGTCTGCTGAAGTTCTCTTATGTTTCTTATGCAGCTATGAAAGAAACTACAAAGATTTGCTTGATTGCATGATTAAGAATGATTCAAATCTCAAAGGAAATTTTGATGGAGTTGAGCTATTAATATTTCCGTCAAACCTGCTTCCTGAAAAATCTCAGCGTAAGAATTGACTGTTACGATTGTCATATTGAACACTAAGCTTATGTGCTCACCTGCGAGCACAAAGAAATAAATACTCCTTTTTTTAACTAAATGTTCAAATTTAATGATGGCAGGTTGGAATAAACTGTTGTTTTTGTGGGGAGTATGTAGAGGAAGGAGGATTAACTGCTCATCAGAATCGCCAATTCTGCAGAATACTATTTGTATCTGTAGCAAGAATGGAGATCGACCAAACCAGAAGCAACAATCGTGTGATTTTCCCATGTCTGTTACTCGGAATTTATGTTCCTGTGCATGTTCTAGTGAAAGTTTATCTGCATCAATTTCATCATGCATAGAGCAACGAGGACCAAAATCCTTTACCTTGCTAGAACAACTTTCTTCGGGAAGAAAAGCTGAGACTAGTGGGTCCAAAGTATCCTTCACTGAGCACAAGGTTGTTAATTTTAAAACTAGGCCGGACTGCCAACAGACAAGTTTTAACTGTCCGAAAAATCATCTATCCAGAGATGTGCCCGACACTGTCTCATGCAAGGTAACATTTGTTTTAATTTTGTAACTAATTTTGTAACTCCACTTACAGGAGTTGATCTCTAGGTTGATCTGTACTTGTTCTACCTGCAGAGAGAAGAAAGAGATTCCAAGAGAAGACAGATGGTTGACCTCACTCTTCAAACAGGTAGAGAATGTATCCGGATTGACGAAGAACTGAAATATAAGAGGTTAAAAAGCTGTTTCGGAGAAGCGGGTGAATTCAATACTGAATCCGGGGACATAAAGTATTCGGGCAAGACAATTTCTACCAAAGGAAATGGGGTTGCTCCAAGTCTTGAAGGTGTAAATCTGGAGCTAAATTTAGGAATTGAAAACATTGGTGCAGCAGAACAAAGAGGCAGGCAATCCAAATCGGTGAGAAATTTCGATGTAAAAGATGAGAAATGTGAATGCTCAGTGCCTCTGTCTCTTACTCTTGGCTTAACTGAATGCAATGATGTCAACACCTCATTGTGTTTGTAGTGAGTCTTAGTTGCAGAATAATCCTTCGTAAATAGTAGTTACTCAACATAGATACTGTGATGTATACTAGATCATTAATAATGATCTTGACCCAGTTTTAGAGCGGAAATTAGTTTTCTTTTTGTTTATTTTATTGATAGGAAACTGAAATTTGGGTTGTAAGAAAATAAACGTACAAAAGGTGCACAGGTAGCCTATAGGCCAACTAAAAATCCAAAAATTAATAGAATATATTACGCTTTTTAAGTGAATTTTCAATTTTTTTTATTTATGTGTCATGAGTTGTGGTAAAAATGATCATATTTTTTGGTTAATAAAATTAATCATTTATTAAAATACCATCTTATCTTCCCAACAACTTTAACAATATGTAATTTGCATGTTTTCATCCCTTGAAAGATTAGGTATGATAATTCAATTATATAATTTATTATATATAATGGATCGTATGAAATAAACATACAATACTTAGTTTAAAAAACTAGAAAACCTTTAGTTCTAAGTGAAAATGTCTTGTGTTTTGTGTTGATGTAATTCAAGAAAATGAGACTGGTATGAGAGAAAAAAAATGGTTGAGAGGATGAAAATAAGAAATTAGAAAAAGAAAGAATAAGATAAAAAATATTAATTTTATTTATTATAAAATGTTTCAATAAGTTCTTACTACTCATATCAAATTCCACAGTTGTCTCCAGGTCCACCAAAGGTAAAAATATTGCCCAAGAACCCTTCCATGTCACCAAATTTAATGACATCATAAATCTCAGCTAACACATGCATGATATATCTTGAATATTTAAGGTTGTGTCAACAATCGAGTAAAAGACTTTTTCCCACCTAAATAATGGCCTAATTACCTTTCCTATATACAGACTTTTAAAATACCATTTTATTAACTAAACGTTATATTTCGTTAATAATTTCAGTTAAATATAATAATATTCATTGTGAAGATAAAAATATCATTTACTCTTCTTCTTCTCCTCTTCTTAGCCTCCATTGTGGCTGTTGGCCGGTGCCAGCAAACGATCTGATTCCGGCGTTGCATGTCGACCCCAACCCCACCATATCACTCCCCTTTGCCAACACACTTAAACCCTCTTCACCCCGCACCCAACTACTCCACCAATTGCCAACCATTGCACTTCCTTTGGTTGACATATTTTTGAAGCTATTCCGATCAAATCTGACAACGACAACCCTCTCCAACCACACCATTTGACTCACTGATGCCACCCTAACAAAACCCCTGACATCTCCCAACCCAATTATCCACCGATCGTTGCCGCCTACCTATTAGGTTTTAGCGCAAACGTTATCTCTTCCCAGCGCAATTCTTGTCAACTGCCTCACCAAAAACTTACCTAGCCACCACCTTCCGCACCACCAGCATCCCCCCTCCAAAACCTGTAAGCCCTTGACCTTGATCTCCCACTGACCATTGCATAGAACTAGGGTTTCCTGTTCAAGCCTACTTGGTGGAGTGTGTTTTGGTTGGTTAGGGCATTTTATCGAATAGTTGGTGGACGGGAGTTTCAGTGCTATTCAAGGTCGATTGAGGGCTTGAAAAGTAGGTGGGGATCTAGAGTGGTGGTTGTGGTTGTTGGAAGGGATGGGAGGCAGTGGGAGGTGGTTTACGAGTAGCCTGCAAAGGCAAGCTACAGGTGCGCGAGCGCTAACAGGCAGGAGAGGGGCATATTGGTTAGGGAATTTTTACGAGCAAGTGGTGGGTGCCTAAAAAAAGACCAGTGGATGGCAAACAAGGAGTGGCAAAAGTCGATTGGATGGTGGGTTTTGAAGAGGGGGTGAAAGGGGTTGCAGCGGTGGTGGAAGGGTGAATTTTCGATGTGACAATCAATTAGAAACAAGCCTGAAAGATGGGTGTTCAACAGAAAAAAAAAAAAAAAAAGTGGACATTTTTCAGTGATTAAAGGGTGAAAATGGGTGGGGTGAGGTTGGTTATGAAAAAGGGGTGAGGGGAAGATGATGCTAACGACCGCTTTTTCGATTGCCTCTGCTCACTAGTGAGAAATTAGGTGCTGGAGTAAGAAGGGCCGATGATTGGTGGTGCAAATGGGTGAGGGTAATGGGGGTTTTGTTAATTGACTATCATACCCTTACTTATAACAGACTTTTGACCATCCTGCCCTTTTTTACAATGAAATTTATTAACATAATTGTTCTTTGGGTAGTAAAGTGGTATTTTAAAAGTTCATGGGTGGAAAAATGTCATTAAGCCATTATTTGGGTGGGATAAGGTCGTTTAGTCGTCAGCAATCCCTTAGAAATTTTGTGTCCATCTTCAATCTCATTGTGGGGGAACGACATTTTTCCACCCAAGGTTTGTCAAAACAACACTTTTCCATTAGTCAAGTTTCAAAACGACACTTTCCCACCTACCTTCATGTTCTGTTAGGGCTTTCCGTTACTATTTGACTAAAAAAACGTAAATACCATTAAATATTTGACTTAATATCAAACACAGTAATATCACAATATTAATATGGTATGCACACGAAATGTGTAAAATAAAAATTGGTTGAAGAGTCGAAATGAAAAAATAAAAAAAGTGTTTATGCATAAATAATTGATGACAATAGGACTTAAACCTTGAAAGCAGTTGGCTTTAGTCAAATTCCATTGATATTAAATTAAAATGAGTCTTCAATCAACTTTTATAGGTAAAGGTCATGTTTGGTCGTCTAAGCTCACAACTTAGAGCATTCCAAATTGATTCAAAACCCTATACCAACCATTTTGTTCCATTAAAAGTGAAGCTATTCATCTGAGTTGCTGTCAAAGCCAACCATTTTATAGGTTCTAGTGTTCTTGCTCGTGAATCTTCACTTGGTTGTTGACTATAGAAGTTTTAAAACTACACTCAATTGTTTATGTTCTGCTAACATTTTTGTACTGAAACTACATGGCAAATACAATCTATTTTATATACTTCATGGTATATCTACTAGATTTTGTACATAAATCTGAATGGTATACACCAAATGTCAAATGAGTCATGTTATCACTTATGTTACGATTAACAAATGCATTAATTTATATCGTGTATATTTTGTGCATATGTCGTACTAATTTTGTGTTAATATGAAAAAGTATATATGAAACTCGTAAATAAGAGTTTTAGGTTTTATTCTTCATATGTTAATAAAGATTCAAGACTCTTTTTATAGAGATTTACATTAGACAGAGAGGAAAAAAAAAACCTAACTATAGAAAACCTACAACTGTACAATAAGATAATTAAAACCTGATTTTTAAGGAAAGACAATAATCTCTTAATAATACAAAATATACAACAAATCCCCCAAATAATATGGTTTGAAGATGTCTTCCATAGTCAGCCTGCCCATCAACCTTATGAATTGTTATTGGTAATCCCTTAGTAACTATATTAGCAACCTAATTAATAGTAGGAATGTAAGACATATACATTAGGCCATAATCTAATTTTTCCTTATTGAAGTGTTTGTCAACTTCAACATGTTTGGTTTTATTATGAAGTACTTGATTATGAGCAATAGTAATGGCAGCTTTGTTATCACAGTAAACTTTCATAGGTAGCGGATTGGTAGCCCTTACTTCTTCCAGCAGTTTTTTTTACTCGCAAAACTTTAGAAATCCCATGAGTAACTACTCTAAACTCTTTTTACTCGCAAAACTTTAGAAATCCCATGAGCAACTACTCTAAACTCTACCTCTTTACTACTTCTAGCCACCACATTTTGCTTCTTACTCCACCAAGTAACCAAATTACCTCCAACAAAGGTGCAATACCCAGAAGTTGATCTTCTATTTATTTTACTCCTAGCCCAACATGCATCTGTGTAAGCTTCATCTTGAAGATACCCATAATTTTCAAATAGAAGACATTTTCCTAGAGTTCCTTTTAAATATCTTAGTATTCTATAAACAACATCAGAATTTTCCTTTTCAGGCGAGTGCATAAACTGACTTACTATGCTAACTGCAAAGGCTATATCATGACAAGTGTGACAAAGGTAAATCGGTTTACCAACTAGCCGTTGAAACTTTTCTTTGTCGATTACTTCTTCAGGCTTGGCAGGTTGCATTTTTAAGTTGGACTCTATAGGTGTCTTAGTCACTTTACACCCCAGCGAACCAGTTTCCCCTAGCAAATCAAACACATATTTCTGTTGAGAAATAAATATCCCTTTCTTAGACCTAGAGAATTCTATATCAAGGAAGTACTTCAGTGTACCCAAGTCCTTAATATTAAATTCAGGGGCAAGAACCATCTTTAATCTTTCAAGTTCAGCATAATCATCTCCTTTCAATATTATGTCTTCTACATAAACAATTAAAATTACAATTTTCCCATCACTTTGAGTGTTTAAAAATAAACGTGTGATTAACTTGGTTTTGACTATAACCCTGACCTTTTACAGCTTTCTCAAATTGCTTAAACTAAGATGTCTTCAATCTACATGCCTTCTGACTTCTTAGTTTACCTTCGAATCTGGGTGGTAACTTCATAAATACCTCTTCTTTCAATCTCCATTTAAAAAAGCATTATTCACATCTTACTAATGTAAAGGCCAATTAGGATGTACCACAAGAGCAAGTAAGATACGAATTGAGTTAATTTTGGCTACTGGCGCAAATGTTTCTTGGTAGTAATTCCAAAGGTCTATGTGAATCCCTTGGCTACTAGTCGTGCTTTGTATCTTTCTACACTTACTTTGTTTTTAATTGTAAACACCTATTTACAACCCACAATTTTCTTTTCCTTGGGTAAATCAACAATTTCCTAAGTACCATTTTTTCGAAGAGCCTCAATTTCTTTTAAAACTGCTAGCTTCCAATCTGGGTGATCTAGGGCTTTCTAGATATCTCTTGTAACAAATAGATGAAAAATATTTCCTCAAAAATTTAAATTTCACCTAATAGACAATGAAGAAAAACCATTCTACTACCAATAGTAACAAAATGAGAGGTTGAAATTCTATAGAGATGAGGAAATAAAGTGTTAAGTGGAGTTCCAAATTTAAAATAATCAACAAACTCCAAACAAAATAAATCACCACTGGACGCAATCAATTCTCTTCACTTCCCTTAATATCCATCACTTATCTTTTCTCACAACATCTTCCTACCCTTGTTGCTTTGCTTGGGAATGTTGTCTTGAATGGTTTGAAAAAAGGATTGTAAAGTTTGGAAGCTTGGTTCTTCAAACTATTTTTTCTCTCCTAATTGGTTTGTTAATGTTTGGTGG